AAAGTATGCATCAGATAAGGGACTGATAACCAGAATACACAAGGTACCTAAGCAGCTGTTCTGAAAAAAAGTTGATCAACCCTATTAAAAGATGGGAGAATGAGTTGAAAAACAACTCTCTAATAAGGATGACATATGACTAGTCAAAAGGCATATGAGAAAATACTCAACATCCCTCATTGTAAGGGAAATGCAGATCAAAACAACAATGACATACCACCTAACCACATTCAGAATGACTAAGATTAAAAAAAAAAAAAAAAATAGGGACCAGCAGTTGGCGTTAATGGCTATGTTGCTGGACTCCCATGTAGTTGGCTGTGGTTCGAGTCCCGGACCCAGTGACTTAAACTCACGCCAGGCACATGTGCATGAGTGCCTAATATCCCAAGAGAGGAATGGAGGAGAAAGGATTGCGGTGTGGCCATCTGCCCTGGGGTGGGGTGGGGTGGGGTGGATGGGGCATGATTTCTCTCTCTCTCTCTCTCTCTCTCTCTGTCTTTCTGGTGAGCGCACATGCACTGTAGCAAAAACCTCTCAAAAAACAAAACAAAAAACTCAAAAAAAAAAACCTCAAAAAAAAAAAATGATAAGTTCTGGTGGGGATGTGCTGAAAGGGGAACATTGTTAAACTGCTGGTGGGAATGTAAATTGGTCCAACCACTGTGGAGAACAATTTGGAGATTCTTCAAAAATCTACAAATAGAACTACCATATGATCCAGCAGTCCCACTCCTTTGGTATCTACCCAAAGGACAGAAGAATTCTTAATTGGAAAAGTGCTTGCACATCGATGTTTATTGCGGCATTATTCACAATTGCTAAGACATGGAACCAACTCACATGCCCACAAACAGATGAATGGATGAAAAAACTGGCACATATACTCTATGGAATACTATTCAGCCATTAAAAAAAAAAAAAAAAGACCCGAAGATCCTGGCTTTTGACAGAAAGTGGATGAATAGGGAAGATTTACTGCTGAGTGAAGCAAGCCAGGCTATGAAGGAGAGACATTGTGTGTCCCCACTTAATATATACTGAGTGTCCACACTGTCTGACTGAAACTGAATGACTAAAGGGTATAGAAACACAGTAAATGATTGTGAATACCAGATATAGTGTGGGAAGAGGGTGGGTGAAGGAGTAGAGTCTGAGCAAAGACATTTAGAAGAAAAATAGAGGCAAAGCATTAATGGGACAAAAAAATGGGGTATTATCTGTTGAAGAAAACTTGACGATATTATCAACTAGACTGGGGAGAAATGTACATATGTTGGACTATTCCCTTTGTGAGCTAAATAATGTGATTATATGTAAAAAAGAACTTGAAATTAAAAATAAATTAAAAAAAGAAATTGGATAGTTTTATCTTCTGTTTTTTCACTTTTGAACATAAACAGCCTCAACTTTCACTAAAAAGAGACTTTAAAAAATAAATTCTCTAGAGGAGACACTAGGTCTCAATTTATAATGTGTTTTAGTTTTAGTACCTTAAAGCTTTCACTTCCTTTCCTCATCACTTTAAAATTTTAAAATAATTTTCTAAGTAAAAATCAGCACATATTTAAAAATCAGCACAAAAAAAAGAAATAAAAAGTAAAGAAAGCAAACAAAAGTTTTACTCCATCTACAATTTTGCCACCTAGGTAATCATTTAAACAGCTTACTGTTAGCATTCCTGATATATGATAAAAAAGTGTAAAGTTTTAAATGGGGGTTAATTACTTACATGCTGTTTCATTATATTTCATATGTTTATTTTTATATCAATTTTCATTTATGTAACGTTGACTCTATGCTATTTAAAAAGTATTCCATAGCTGACAGAATCAAGTTTTTTTCTCTTGAATTTTACATTATTGGCATGGCATATGCATAATCACTTTTTCAACTCCAGTATCAAAGTGTAAACCACATACCATAAAATCCATCCATTTTAAGTCTAAGGTTCTGTGAGTCTTAGTAAATTTTAACAGTTGTGTGGTCATTATCAGAATTCTGGTTTGGATAGTTTTCATCACTTTTAGAAAGTGATTTCTTTTAAAAAGAGGAAAATAGAATAAACTCTGTTATTCAGACCTCACTGACTTAAAACTAATAGAATTTTAGAAAACTAGGCAACTTGTACAAAGAGATTTCAAAATGTTCATGGAGAAATGGGATGAAAGTATGAATTTATTTTAGTGACAAAAGTTTTGAAATCATACATAATTTTTTGGTAATATTTGTTCCATGAACTTTTTGAAAATCCCTTATATAAAGAAATGATGACTTTAGGCAATTATAAAACATCTTGAAGCCTCATTTTATTCAGTTGTGGAAGTGGTAACAATCTCTGTTGCAACACTCATGAGCCCATGCATGATTTAGACAAAAACCACACTGAATGACATGTAGAAACCTTGTTTTCATTGGGCGCCTTTCAGCTTCCTTACTTGTCAAATGCTATTGTCTGATACATTGAGCAACATGTCATGTAGTGGAATCATTTTTACCTTAACAATGAAATATTATTTAAGAAACATATGAAAAGTATATGAGAATATTATGTGTATTTACTGTACTTTGCTTTTTTCTTTTTAGTACCATATAAACATGTCTGTGTTCTTAAACCTTTGCACTTTTTCCACTATTTCCTCCTTTAATCCTGTACTGTTTGTCTAAGTTTTGTTTATTTAAAGAGTCCTTTTTTTATTACAGTTTTGATCCTCTGAGGTTGACCTGTAACTGTTTATGAGCATGGGGAGGCAGACTTGGGGTAGAGGCAGATATGGAACTGACTACAGCATTAGGGAGCTTGTGACCTTGTGCAAGTTCTTTAGACCTCATTTTCCTTCCAGGTGTGAAATTGAGATAATTACTAAATAGGGTCGTTATTAGTGCCACATGAGTTTTGTATATAAATTATTTAGCACAGTGCCTAGCTACTAAGCATTTAATAAATGAAACTATTATTATAATATTATTATTATTTATAGTATTGGGTCGTCAGAAAAGTCATGATGCATTTTTGCATAGGAAAAACAGAAAAATACATAATGACTTTTCCAGTGACCCAATAATTATAATTTATAGGAATTTTAGATGTTTATATAGTCATGTTTATTTTTCCATTAGCCACATGTGCCATGCTTAGGAATTACCCTAAATCCTTATAAATACTCACCCATAGTTTCTTCTGAAAAATTCTAGAACTTCTATGGCCTTATTACATTTAAAATTTTTAACCCATATGTAATATATTTTACTACATACCATGAAATGATCTGATTACCTATTTTTCCTATGGGGTTGGTTAATCAGTTTTCCCTATTTTTATTTAATAAATCATCCTTTTTTCACAGAATTGAAATATTACTTTTATCATATACAGAATTCTCACACACATATTAGCTAATTCCTGCACTTTTTCTTTTGTTTTATAGTTATGACTATTCCTTTACCAATTACTTTGTTTTATTTACTGCAACTTTATTATCCGTTTAAATATCTGACAGAGAAAATGCCATGTTATGGCACTTCTAAAGTTTCTAGAATATTCTTGTATATCAATATTTTTACACTAACGTTAAACTTGGTGAAACTATATGTTAATAAGTAGTCTTAAACAGTATTGAATATATAGATTAGCTTGATGTAGAATATCTTTTGCAGTGTAATATTCCCTTGTAGGAACATATTACAGTATGCCCCTTTGTTTTTTGTTTGTTTGTTTGTTTGTTTGTTTTTAAGGTTTTTGCCATAGTGCGTGTGTACTTTCCAGAGAAACAGAGAGTGGGAAAGAGAGAAATCACCTCTTGGGAGGATAACCATGTCACAATTCCTTCTTCTCTATTCTCTTCTGGGGATTTTGAGCACGCGCACACACACACACACACACACACACACACACACACACACACACCAAGCGTGAGTTTAAACCTGCAAAATCACCCAGCATGAGTTTTAAGCTGCCAAATCCAGGACTCGAACCATAGTCAACCATGTGTGAGTTCAGTGTCCTAACCACCACACCACCTGCTGGCTCCATCTATTCATGTTCTGAAAAGTACCTTAGTAGAATTCAGTAGTTGCCAGAATCTTAATAGCAAATATTTCCTGTTAGATTATTCTTAGGTATTTCATAATTTTTTGTTCTTGTGAATGCTATCCTTTTGAATGATCTTTTTCTTATCTAATAGTTATTGTTCTTATCAAGAAATTATTTATTTTTATAAATTGCTATTACAACCAGTCACTCCATTAAAGTTACCTTTTCTAAAAATTTTAAGCTGATTTTATTGAAATTTTCAGGCAATCATATTATTTTCAAATATAAAAATTCAGTATCCTCAGTTCTAAGATTTAAACTTATTTTTTAGTTTAGTACATTAGCTAGCTCTTATTAAAACACTGTTTAATAAGAGTAACAACAGAAATCCTTTTTTTTTTTTCTGTCTTTAATGATGTTTCTATTATGAGAAGGCCCTTATGCTCTACTATGGAGGATAATGTTGGCTTCCCCCCAATAGTTTATGTTTTCCTAGTTGTCTTTAATCTGTTGTTTCTCATACCATAATTAATATAAGCAGGAAGTAGTCACTCATCATTAACTTCTCCATATTGACAATATTTTTCTCAGTGACTTTCAGTTATTTTGGTCAAAAATGGTATATACCCTAGCTCTTCCAATAGTTGATTTGAAGAAAAAAAATTTTTTTCACTGCCAGGGGTTGCATATACTTGCCAGAGTGAGAAAGAGCTAAAGGAAGAGAGAGAGAGAGAGAGAAAGAGAGAGAATGCACCCTTAATGGGAGTGGTCATGCTGCTATCCCTCTTCGCTATTTCTCCATTCCATCAAGCATTTGGATACACGTGGACAAATGCACAGTGTGTTTTTCAAGCCTCTGAGGCTGGGATTTGATCAGCAATTGGCCATCTGGGATCCAGCTCCCTTGACCACTGAGAAATAGGGCTGGCCCATGTTTTTTTTGTTTTGTTTTATTTATTTTTGTTACCTTTGCAGAGGAAAGGCTAATGATGTGTTGATCCTTTTCATTGGTCACGATCTCAGTGATACTGAACATGTGTCCCACAAGTTTCCCCACTGGCTTAGTACTGATATTGGGGTGCCACAGCCGGAGGACTTTATCATCTCCTGAAAAAGTAGACAGGGAAGGGTTATTTATGTCCTCCAGTGGTCGAAGTTTCAAAACTATCTCTCACTCATGTTTTTATCTTTCCTCTAATATCAAATCAATCTCTCTTTTAGTATGCATGCTGTGAGGGACTTGTTAAGGTACTAAACAAGGAGCAGTCTTGTTTTGGGTTGCCTGTTTCTTGTCAGGGATGTTTTGTGATAACTGTATTTATACCTACAAATGTGAATTCTCATAAATATTTTATGAGTACTTTCCCTGATTCAGTACTTTCTTACTCTTTCATGACTAATGTATTATTTATACTTTATTTACTTCCAAAAAGTATTTAAAGCAGCTGTTCTTTCGTTTTCATATTCTTAAATTATTCACACATTACAATAATAAAAGAAATCAAGGGGAGAAGAAAACGTACATAACTTCCATCATTATAACAAATCAACAGTTCATTTTCCCATCACCCCTTCTAGTGAATATCCATAAGTATATATAATTTATATGTAGTTGCTATAATGGAATAGATACTATTGTTTAAATTGTTAAAATCATCTGAGGACATGATAAAATATTTAAACTGTCTGGAAGTATATAATTTTTGCAAAAATAGGTTTCTTTCTCCCCATAATCCCTCATTCTACTCTCTATGAAAAGATTACTTAACTTTTAAAAATATAATTTAGCAAAACATTTAAGGTACATAAAAAATGAAAAATTGGGACCAGCAGTTGGCATAATGGCTATGTTGCCAGACTCCCATGTAGTCAACCATGGTTCGAGTCCCATTTCCAGTGGCTTAAACTCACGCTGGGCACGTGTGCATGCATGCCCAAGGTTCCAAGAGGAGAATGGAACAGAAGGGATTCGGGTATGTCCCCCCCCAGGGGGGTGATTTCTCACTTTCTGTCTCTCTCTGTCTCTGTCTTTCTGGCAAGCACACGTGCCCTATAGCCAAAATCTCTCCAAAAAAAGAGAAAATTATCTGTCAATGATAATGTGTATAATAATGCCTCTGACCGGACTAATATACAGTGTATTCATGCTGGGAAAATTCATTTTGCAAGTTGTAATGATATACAGTGATTGAATGTATAAAAATGTTTAAATAAAAATATAATTTAGATATATTTCTAGATAGGTTTTTATACCTATCTCTTTTTATGTTTATGGAAGATCATGGACCCAAGACCTCATAATTATAATTTTAGTTGTTATTTCACAATTTCTTTTTTTTAATTTTATTTAAAGTTCTTTTATACACTCAACCACATTATTTAGCTTGCAAAGTGAATATTCCAACATGTGTACATTTCTCCCCAGTCCAGTTGATAATACTATTAAGTTATCTGCAACAGGTAATATCCCATTTCTTTGTCCCATTAATGCTAAGCCTCTCTATTTTTCTCCCTAATGTCCTTCCATTCATCTATTGATAAATTATTCCACCCATTCTAGCTTTTTACTTTATTAAGCAATGAGCAGTAATATTATTTATGTGGTCTTTTTCTTCTTTTGGATTGTCTACTGAGGACAGATTTCCAAGAGTGAGATCATTATAAACATGTGTATATTTTATAATAGATTACTAGGTTGATTTCCAAAATGATTGTACCAAATCTCAAGACCATCAATCATTTATGATTATAACAGTTTCATTAAACTCTAATCAGGACATGAATATTATCCTGATTTAAATTACTTGCTATTTGAGGGGCCATCAGATGGCATAGTGATTGGGGCAGGGCGCTGGACTCCCATGTTGCCGACTGCAGTTTGAGTCCCGGACCTGGCAGCTTGACTGCCAGGCATGTGTGCATGCGTGCCTAAAATCCTGAAAGGAGAATGGAGAAGAGTGGCATCCTCTCTAAGGGGTGATTCCTTTCTGCCTCTCTTTCTCTTTCTCTCTCTCTGGTGAGCACATGTGCCCTATAGCAAATATCTCTCTAAAAAAAAAAGTTTGCTATTTTAATAGGTCTAAAATTATACTTTATTTTTGGTTTTGTTTATTTTTAATTGCCAGAGGATGTATATGTGTGCTTTCCAGAGTGAGACAAAGAGGCAGAAAGAGAGAGGGGGAGAAAGCACCCCTTAATGGGTCATAGTCACACTGCAGTTTCTTCTCCATTTCTCTGTCCTTTTAGGATCTGGGGCATGCATGCACTTGTATTGGCCACGTTTTTCAAGCCACTGGGGCTAGAATTCGAACTGCAGTCAGTCGTGTGGGGTCTGGTTCCCTTCACCACTAGGCCATGGGGCTGGCCCCATTTTTGTTTTAATTTAATTTTATGATAGCTAGCACTGTTGAGAATTTTTCTCATGTACTGTATATATGCTCATTGTATATCCTTCTTCTGTAAATGGTCCATATTCTTTATTCATGACCCACTGAAATGCTGGTGATAGTAAAATAAAAATTGATCAGAAATGTGTTATTGTATGTGTATATACACATACATAACCAGGCTTAAAACAAAGACTGGCTATCTATTTACCAAACTTATATCAGCTCTTCCTTGGTATACAACTGACTGCATTTCCCGGTGTGGTTAGCTTACTGACTTTTAGCCAGTAAGTGTGAAAGTTAATTTTACATGACTACGAAGAATTCCTGTTGTATTTGAGCCATCTATATTTTAAGATTTATTGGTTATAGCAGCCAGCATTACCTAAACTAATACATAGCTGTAATCCAATTGTATTTTTCAAAAATAACAATGGAATGTTTATTTATATTTCTATGATACAGTAATATATTTTATCCTTGTTTTTCTAGTTAAAAAACAATTGCTATAGAGCATGTGTGAGCTTGGGAAAGGGAGAGAGAGAGAAACTAAGAAAGCAACCCCAAGGGGGCATAGCCACATCACAGTTTCTTCTCCTCCGTTCTCCTCTTGGAATTTTGGACAAGCACACATATGTGCCTGGTGTGTTTTTCAAGCTGCTGGGTCTGGTACTTGAACCGTGCAGCTGGTCATGTAGGATCCAGCCACCTTACCACCATACCACCAGGTAGTGTGCATTATTCCACATGGTCAACTGTGGTCTGAATTCTGGGCCCAACAGCTCGAAAAACGGGCTTGTGTCTGTATGTCCCAAATCCTAGCAGGATAGGGAAATGGAGGAGAAAGGATTGTAACATGACCTCACCCTATTGTAGAGTGCTTTATTCCTTTCTATCTCTCTTTTTGTCTCTAGTGAGCACACACAACCTCTGGCAATTAAAAAAGAATTTCAAGTTGGGACCCCAGAGGCTATATAATCTGACTTACTTATATCACATAAGAAAGAAACTAACTCTCAAAGTTTAAATTAAATACTTTTAATTCTGTTTAACAATTTATATGTAATTTGTCCAGAATCACATGACAGAAATCAAGTTAAGAATACTATGATGTGTTCTTCAGCACCTAATTTATTACCATGGACTTCTAGGCTACTAAAAAAAAAAGCATAATAGCATTATAAACTAAGTCATAATTTATATGTAACCTAAGTTATTAAGTCATAATTTACATATAAAACCCCTAAAGTTCTGACTTAGTCATGGAGAGGATGCCACTACTCTGCAGGCTGAAGTCCTGTGTGAGACCCAGATTTGATTCCTGGTCCACCCATGTCCACAGTGGTGTACAACTGTAATCCCAGCTACTCCAGCGGTGGAGGTGGGGCAGAAGGGCTTCTGGGAGATGAGGTTATGAAAGTGGGACCTTCATGATGTTCCCCCTTTTTAAAAGTTTATTATATTCATAAGAGAGAGTACCTGCATAAGAGAGAGAAAGAAAAGCACCCTTGACAGGGTCCCATCATTCACCTCTTTCTCCAGCACTCCAGCTCATCAGGATCTTGAGTGCCCATGCACTCAGCATGTTTTCAGATTAATTCAGGGTCCAAACCTGTGGTCACCCGGATGACTTCCAGCACTGCAGTTCAGTTTACTAATCCTGCGCCACCAACACTGGGCTGGATTAGTGCCCTTGTAAGAAGAGACGCCAGAGGGCTTGCTCACTTTCTCATGTTCTTTCTGTGAGGACACAGCAAGACGGCCATCTACAAGCCAGAGGGACCTCACCAGAAACTGACCTGGCATCTTGATCTTAGAGTTCTAACTTTTAGAATTCTTGAGAAAATACATTTCTGTTGCTGAAGTCACCTACTCCAACATTTTGTTATGGCAGCCCAAGCTATCAAGACAGCAACCAGGATACTGAGTTGTCAGAAAAGTCATGACATATTTTGATTTTTCTATTTTTTCAAAGGTCATTTATTTATATAAAGAACAAAGATCAGTCAGTGATATCTTGTCCATTTTGTTCAATGACCTTTGCCATCTTTCGGTGAGCTTCATAATTCCTCTTTATCAGCGAAAAACTGAACAAGGTATTGATTCACAACCTCACCTGACTTGAGCATTATACCATGCAAGGTGTTTTGAACAGAGCAAAACAAGTGGAAGGAAGTCTGATGACGCAAGGTCAGATGAGTATGGTGGGTATGGCAACACATCCCATCCAAGCTCCAATAATTTTTAACAGGTAATCAAACTTGTGTGTGATCTCACATTGTCATAATGGAATACAACTTCTTTACAATTAATGAGCTCTGAAAGTTTCTGGATGATGAATTCATTCAAACTGTCTGATGGCTGACAGTACACATTCAAATTGATTGTTTGGTTCCTTGGTAGGAGCTCAAAAAAAATGACACCTTTAAAAATCCCACCACACTGGGAGCATAACATTTCTCTGATGAATGTCTGCTTTCAGTGTCGTTTGAGGTGAATCATCACATTGGGACCAAGACCATCTGCACACCACATTGTTGTAAACAATCCACTTCTCATCACCAGTTATCAGTCGCTTAAAAAAAAGATCATTTTCCTGACATTTAATGAGCATATCACAGATGTCCATACGTGACATCAAATGAACTTCTTTGAGTTCATGAGGAACCCAAATATTGAGCTTGCTTATATATCCCAGCTTCTTCACATAGTTTTGAATGC